TCGTGACAATTTGATTCCATACTTAATAATTCGCTTACTTTCTCAACCTGAGATCTCATACCCACTAAGCTTTCCGGAAAAGGTGAAATAATTTGAAGTGACTTAGGAAATATGTCATCAACTAGTTTCTTGACGCACTCAGCCTCATCTCTACAATATAGTGAAAAAAAATCTCAGAGTAAATAAATAGACTTGTCATAGACTAATATCTAAAACAAACACATAATAATGTTACAAAGGTAGTTTAAATCAACTATTATGAATTATAACGTTTTAAAATCATCAAACAACCATATATGTCTCGATTCTCCTAGAATCTTTGTTCCATCTACGGTAAAAGTATAGCTGATGAATTGTGTGGAATTGTAGCTAGAAGTTTGTTACTTTTCGCTCTTGATAAAGAGAAACCGTAGAAAAATAGAAAGCTTACTTGAAATTAAGTAAATGATAGCCTGATATTTTGCCTGCCTCCGCAAATTCACCTCTCCATCTTTGAACCTTCTCCATATCATCTTTGTATTTGACCTCGTGTTGGAAAAATGAATCAGCAAAAGGGGAATTTTGATGGCGTACATCTGATGGACTCACATCATAGAATACTGGAATCACAACCTGCTCCAATTCCATTTTACACTTTATGATATGTGCAAGCTCCTCTAAGCACCATCTTGACGATGCATAGCTTTTTGAAAATACCACGACAGCAAATCTGGCATCTTCTATGGCTTTTAAAAGTTCAGCAGAAATTGATTGTCCTGCTTCCAACCGCTCATCGTCTTTGAAAGCATGGAATCCTCTCTGCTCCAAAGCATTATAGAGATGACTCACAAAGGTTCTACGCGTATCTTCACCTCTAAAACTCAAAAAGATATCGTACTTGCAGACTTTGGAAGAAGAAGCATGAGACATTGTTGAAGGATATTGCTAAAGACTAACAGGTAACTTCTCAGATTAATATTTGAAGCCTAATTGGTAAAATTATTTCTCAGAATTTTGTCTAACTTATCATTAATATTGTCCTTACATTTAAAGTCAATGTCTGATATGAAGTCTTCTTTCCACATTGTGTCTGCAACATGCATTATTGTGAATGGGTCAATCAACAAACACAAATAAAAACAAAGTTTACTTACTACATCTTTTTACATCATATTAGCAAATTCATCCCTCCATCTTTGAATCTTCTCCGTAACTTCTCTGAATTATTCCTCCTATTGAGAAAAATGACTCACATCAATTGTTCTTTTCTTATAATAGTTAGTATCTAAAGTACATCTCGACTAATTTCACGAATTCCATCATTAAAACAACTATCTCTTCCATTCACCCATAGGACACCTACCGGTAATATGTATCAAGTAACTTTGTCCATCGGGGATAGGATAAGGACATATGGGAAGAATCACTTAGTGCTTTTGTCTCAGTTGAGATTTGAACCTGAGACGTCATGACTCTCAACCACTTCATTAATTACTATGCCACACCCTTTGTGTGGATCTACATATCATCTTCCTATTACAACTCATAAAAATGTATCCTAGGTATTCATTATTGTAAGAAATTAATTAAAGTCATTACATTTTTTACAACTTACAACTCTTTATTGTAATATGGTTGAAATTAATCCCAAGTTTTCACATAAGAAGAGATGAAATACGAGGACTTCCAAGGATTCAGTCATCCATCAAATGGGTCCAACCTCTAATGAAGTTCACATGCTGGATAATTGTTCAAAGGGGACCAAATTCTTAGAAATTTCCAGCAAATTTATAGTGTCCACATAGATAATAAAGACTTTACCTTTTCTATAGGAAACTTGTTATCATCTTCTAATTCATGACATATAAATTGGTCGCCTTACCTGAGAAATTGCCCAGAAACTGAAGAAAAATTTCGTAATAATTTCGAAGAAAAAATAGAAAAGAATGATCTGAGAGAACCACAGCCAAAAAGCTAACTATTGAGGTATATAAGAGCGTTTGGATTCAGAATAGTTGTAAAGTGTTTATGTAAATTTAAAAAGAATTTATTTAACTAGAGAAGTTTTCTCAACTCATAATGGAGCATCCAATATTTATATATTTACATGTACAAATTCTATGACTCAATTATTTTTAATAGTATTAATTTTCAAATTAAAAATGTCTCTCCAAATCGAAATAACCTTTTACATTTAAACAAACTGTTGCCTCACTCATTGCTTCTTCTTTTCCTTTTCTTATGAGCAGTATCATAACTCATTGCTTCCTCTTCATACACCAGTCGAATTCCCCAGCAGCATTTTTCTTCCCTAGATAGCTCCAACATGTAATAATCGTTTGGATTCTTCCCTTCTTTATTGCCTTCGCCATTGTTCCACAATGTTTCAAATGGTATGCACAAGCAACAAATTAAAGGATACTCGATCATAAAATATGCAAACATGTCATACTCCAAGGAATATTTTCTTTCAGGGTCAGATTTGCAGACCAATATAACTCATACTGAGCGAAATTTAATAGGACCGTAACATATCCAAAAACCCATGAATTTATCTGTATACCAAGATGGATTCAGATGAATTGACATCTCTTTTTGATTTATAAAACGATCATAACCAAAACTCTGGAATTCTGACTCCGGGAAAAGTAATGATAAAAAAATTCCTTTGGTGGAAGTCACACTGCATGCAATAAAATATAAATTATTATTATTATTATCATTATTACTAGTAGAAATTAATCAATTATTCAACAATATTCATATGATGAGATAAATACCTGGATGCATGTCTTGAGAAAATGTTGTAGGAACACATCAACGTGTTCACTTGAGACAGTTCCACAGTTGGATATCCCCAGCGTACACAACTCAAGACAATTACGAGATCTCTGATGCTCTTCAGGGCTAAATGATAATCTGCATTTAGCCATTTTAAATTTGGGGTAGCTCTCCTGATGGCAGTTCATTAAGATTCTCACAGAATTGTTCGTTCAACTTCCGAAGGGGAAAGAGTCCTTTGAAGCTTTTTGGTAAACAAGAAATATTGCTTCCACTTACATCCAACCCATTCAAAAAGTGCAAACCTCTTAACTCCTCAGGAAGTCCACCCAAACGATAGGGAGTAATAAGATGAAGTTTTGGTAAGGATAAAACTGATACTTGATGCAAATCCCCAATGTTTTCTGGAAGCTTTTCTAGACTTTTGCAACCTCTGAGGTTAAGTTTACGAAGATTCATCAAATTACAGAGGTTGTCTGGTAGACTTACAAGATCTTCACAACCTGACAGATTTAGAGAAGTGAGGCCGCTCAGATTCCCAATGGATGAAGGCACTTCTCGTATCCCAGTAGACGTCAGAGTCAGGGCCTCCAAGCAATGCATATCTCCTTTGATTTCTGGAAATGTATCTAATTTTGGTAAATTAAATATCTTGAGTCGTTGAAGGGATTCCATCCAAATAGAGCTTGGAAACTTCTGTAAGTTCTCACATCTATCCATCTCTAACGAACCGAGATTCTTTTGAACTCCAAGAGATGAGGGGAGCTTCACCAATCCAGAACATCGGTGTATATAAAGATATTCCAATTGCTGTGATTCAAAGAGGCTGTCTGGCAGTGTTGTAAGTTTATTGCAACCTGAAATACTGAGATCACTAAGATTTCGAATAGTGTCTGGAATACTTTCAAGAATTTCACAATCATCCAATTTCAACTCTCTAAGGCCGCTGAGAGACGGGGATAAGCTTCTTATCCAGGAGGATCCTAGATTGAGTTTTGATAGGTGCCACATATCTCCACTATTTCTGGAAATTCTTGTAAGCTTGTGCAATTAGAGAGATCGAGATGCTTAAGAGAATTCATGCAGACAAATTTTGGAAGCTTCTTAAGTTTGTCACAATAAGACAAAATCAAATAAGTAAGCATTCTGCAATGTCCAAGAGAGGGATGCACCTCTTCCAAATTCTCACACCCTTGTAAATTTAGTGTCTCCAAGACTGGCATATCACAAAAATTAGGGGATTTTGTTAACTCATAGCAGTTGCTGAGATCCAAATGCTTCAAGTTGCTCAATTTCTGTTTCCATAAAAAAAAAACAGTTAGCTTAAGTAGTACTCCTAATAGAAATATTTTGTGGGAAAATAAATAAATGAAGGGAGGGATGTTATGATCATTGAAGGATGTAGAAAATGCGGAAAAGAGGGAGTCCCACGTAACTCTATCCACCAAAGCTAGGACATATGGGAAGAAATCGCCTAGGAGTCGTTTGCTAGAGTGTATAAAAATAATGCGTGTATTAGGAATGCTTATATTGGTTAAGTATAGATTATTTCATATGCATTGTTTGCTTTGGTGTATTTAATTGTTACATTTGCTCCAAAAAACAAAGATTCTTGACCCATCTTTGATTAAAAATTTATTTAACTCAAACAGGACATTGTACGAGAATATACCTTTGATATTGGCAAAAGTTCAACAAGACAACTTTCAGGTAAACGAAGCATAACGAGCTGTGATTGTTCAAAGCTCTCTGGCAATGAAATTGAAGGATACGCTATCCAATCAATAAACCGCAGGCTGGAAGGAAGATAAGTAATTGGGCAGTGTAAGCTATAAGTCAGAATTATGAGTATTTGTAAGCTTTGCATCCTCTTGAAAGTATTGCTATAATCAACAAGATTCTCTTCAAAATAGTAATATTCTGGGATAAGTAGGCTTTCCACCTTTTCTGTTATCTGTGAAGAATATCGAAACATATATTTAATTGCTAACATATAAAAATGAAACAAAAAAGAACAATAGAACTATGAGCTAACGAAATTATCAAATAAGCTAAATATTGCTTACCAACTTCCCATCAAAAAGGTCACAAATTTCCTCGGGAAGCCATATTCTGCTGTTAGCATACTCTTCCCTTATGACATTTTCTCCCATTTCTCTTATCATATTATGCATCACAATTCCATTATTCAAGTCGATGGATAACAGAGATTTTTCTATAAGGTAATCTATTAGAAAACCACGATTCGGGTCTCTCCGTAATAGTTCCACATAAAGATCAAAATCAGGTCTAGCCAAGTATTCCATATCCAGAAATGCAAAATTTAGAAATGTAATATCTAGAAATAATTCCTTCTCATCTTTTTCAAGACCATCAAAACTAAGCCTAAGCTTTCCTAGAATATCCTTGTGAGGGATTCTCTTCAGTCGATCAATTATGTGTCTCCAGTGCTTTTTGTCTCGTCTGTAAAATGAAGAACCCAAAACTTTAAGGGCTAACGGGAGACCACAAGCATGCTCTACCACTTCTCTCGAAAGTTTCATAAAATCTTCTTTTGGTGATTTTTCTCTAAAAGCATGCGTACTGAACAATTCAAGTGCTTCATCCTCGGATAATAGTTGGACTTCATACACGTTATCTCCAACGTGACTGATCAACAGGTGCTTGTCTCTTGATGTTAAAATAATTCTGCTACCCATTCCAAACCACTCTGTCCCTCCAACTAAAAATTCCAACTGTTCTCGATGGTTTACATCATCGAGAATGAACAAAACTTTCTTCCAGCGAAGCCTATTCTTTAAAATAATCATCCCTTCATGTTCACTAGTTACACTCATCTTTTCACCCAAGAGCTTGTGAATGACGACTTGTGCCAGCCATGCTAGTCCATTTTTCAGATGAAGTTCTCCAACATCACCAAGAAAACAATCAGCTTCAAATAGATGGCGGTATCTTTCATACAGAACATGTGCAAGTCGTGATTTGCCGATGCCACCCATACCACTAATACCAATAGAGCGAGCTTCATTTGATTCCATACTTAATAATTCGATTACTTTCTCAAGCTGAGATCTCATACCCACTAAGCTTTCCCGAAAAGGTGAAATAATTTGAAGTGACTTAGGAAATATGTCATCAACTAATTTCTTGACGCACTCAGCCTCATCTTTACAATATAGTGGAAAATAATCTCAGAGTAAATAAATAGACTTGTCATAGACTAATATCTAATACAAACACATAATAATGTTACAAAGGTAGTTTAAATCAACTATTATGAATTATAACGTTTTAAAATCATCAAACAACCATATACGTCTCGATTTTCCTAGAATATTTGTTCCTTTTTCAGTAAAAGTATAGCTGATGATTGTGTGGAATTGTAGCTAAAAGTTTGTCCTTTTCGCTCTTGATAAAGAGAAACCGTAAAAAAAATAGAAAGCTTACTTGAAATTTAGTAAATGATAGCCTGATATATTGCCTGCCTCCGCAAATGCACCTCTCCATCTTTGAACCTTCTCCATATCATCTTTGTATTTTACCTCGTGTTGGAAAAATGAATCCACGGAAGGGGAATTTTGATGGCGTACATCTGCTGGACTAACATCATAGAATACTGGAATCACAGCCTGCTCCAATTCATTTTTACACTTTATGATGTGTACAAGCTCCTCTAAACACCATCTTGAGGATGCATAGCTTTTTGAAAATATCACGACAGCGAATCTGGCATCTTCTATGGCTTTTAAAAGTTCAGCAAAAATTGATTGTCCTGCTTCCAACCGTTCATCGTCTTTGAAAGCATGGATTCCTCTCTGTTCCAAAGCATTATAGAGATGACTCACAAAGGTTCTACGCGTATCCTCACCTCCAAAACTCAAAAAGATATCGTACTTGCAAACTTTGGAAGAAGAAGCATGAGACATTGTTTGAAGAATATAGCTAAAGCCTTAGTGAAAGAAAAAGTGGTACTTTTCAAAAGATGAATAGAAAGTGGATTCATTCATCATTGCTAAATAATACACAGAAAGTGAAGGCAAGTAGTTGAGAAGGAGGGATCATCAATAAATTTTCGAAACTTCATTTACAGCTAGCAATAGTACTGTATGTGAAAGAGAACTAACATTGGGTGGGCCTTTGCTTGTTTTACCACTTCTTTTTGTGTGAGGGATGAAGCATTCCATCACAAAACGGGAAAACAAGTTCTACAAGTAGCATTCTACGTTGACTGTATCCACCAAAACCTTCAACACACCTCATGTTCATCCCATCAAAACGGGAAAACAAGCTCTACTCACATATAAATCGATTTTGATAATTACTTTCCCCATTTGGACATGTATGTGAGTCACACCAACACCACTACTCACATATGGAATCGGGATGGTCGGAAGATGATGGAGCAATCACGCTTTATTTGTGCTTTTTAATCGGAAGAAATTTTCTTTGAAAATGTGATTTGTCATTTTCAATTAGATCTATATGATTTTTTTAAAAAAATAATCAAATATTGAAATTTGAAAAGTGGTTAGAAAAGACGGTTTCTTCTGTTTGAAAGAGATTCATTTTTCAAAAATTAGTTCAAGCTCAACAGAAGTCCCAAAACCTTCTTTTTAGTCTAGCACTGATAATGGATCAGGATGCAAATCCGAAGCGGAATCAGGTCATTCCATGTTTTCCTATTCTGCATCACACTGCACAATCAAGTCGAGTTTTATGTAAAAGTTGTTGCCCCATCGAAAGGAGCAATAAAGAGGCCACAAGAGATCCAGAAAGAGAAAGGGAGTAAGAAATTTCAAAATTGTAGAAGAAGTCGTGTCAATAAATAATTTTTTTTATAAAATTACTTACCATATTCTTAGATTACGTATATTATGAATATGAATGTACATTTCATATCTTTTTTTATCATATGGATCAATTGAATGAGACTATTAATACTTATAGTTCAAATATTGAAGTAAGAATATCATCTGGTCAAGTTGGAAAAATCCGATCTATCATGTCATATCATATATCATTATATATATATATTTGTGTGTGTGTGTATGTGTGATCGTCGTGTAACTCCTCGAGAATCATATCATTTGTCTGTCACGTGTTGCCACCTGAGTCAAAATACTCGAAGTAAGCTCCTGGCTTGCCCCTATCTCTAAAGGGGCTTACAAACGAGCGGAGTGTTTATGCTTGTGGTAGCTGCGAGCCTCCTGGGTCTTGCTCTCTCGTCTTTTTTCCTCCTCTTTCTTGTAACTGACCCTTTAAGACAACTTTTCGTGTCCTTATTTTTGAGTCTATCAGCTGCAACAAGAGTTGCGGGAATGATTGTTGTGCTTACCCCGATCGATACCACCATTCATTATCGTGAACCAACCCCTCTTCAGTATAGGCAGGTCTTTCTTTAGAACAGATTCATTCTAGAACAGAAAACCAAATTGAGAATCAGAATCGCGCTAAACTGACTTTTCAAAATCTTCATACATTATACTATTTTATTAAAGGGAAAAAGATCTGATATACCCCTCAACTTTGTCATTTGGAGCTGATATACCCCTTGTTATGAAAGTGACTCATCTATGCCCTTATCGTTATACAAATGGCTCACATATACCCCTGCGGTTACAAAAGAGCTCACATATACCCTTCATTTAACAGGAGTTAAAAAATAGTTTTAAATTTATACTTTTTTACTTTTAATTTTTTAAAAAAATTATATAGGGGGTATATATGATTCTTCTATCAAAGTTCAAGGTATATTAAAATTTTTTTAATACATAAATTATTTTTTGACTTCTTCTATTATAATTATTTGAGCTTTTTATTCTTTTTTTTTCTTTCATTCCTTAGTTTATTTTAAAAAAATTAAACTATTTTTTGTCTACATTGTAATTTAATTTTTGTATTCAAAGAAAAAAGTTTTGTCATCTACAGTAAGTTAATAAGAATATTAGTGAAACATAAATAAATATGATTATCAAAATAATAATTTTAAATTAGTTATTGAAATAAAAAAAAGTCAAAAAAGTATGTTTGACGAGGATTAAATTTAGTCATATGACATTGTATTTTTTAGAGAAATTAGATTAAAATTATTATTTTTTCATTTTCTTTAGAGAAAAATGTATATGTGAACCATTTATTTTTAAGTAGAGGTATATATGAGTCACTTTCATAACAAGGGGTATATCAGCTCTAAATGACAAAGTTGAG